CATCCATCCATCCATCCATCCATCCATCCATCCATCCATCCATCCATCCATCCATCCATCCATCCATCCATCCATGACAAATGACAAGGCAAGGCAAATTTATTTGTATAGCACTTTTTGTGTACAAGACAATTCAAAATGCTTTACATTACTAACACTTTATTTGAAGGGGTGTGCATACGACTGACGTGACACTGTCATAAAAATGACAGAACACCTGTCATGAACATGAAGTCTTCATGAATGTTTGACTGTTGTCATTAAGTGCCACTCGGTAAATTATGACACTTTTAATGCAAAGTCGTCACAACCTGACAAAAATGTCTTTATGAAAACTTGCCGTTAACCAAGAAATCATAACCTGCCATAAATATGTTCTACAAGGTATTAATTATCAAACTTTAAAAATGTATTTAGCTCGATGTGTTAACATTTCATTACCTTATCATTTGTTGTTAGTCTTAATTTTGGCTATCAAAGGGAAATATTAATGACTCTATAAACACAAACTCTTTACATTTCCATATYTTTGGTTAGGGTACTTATAAACATTTGACAGTGTAATAACACTTAATGACATCTTTWTAACTAATCCAGCGTGTTCTATTTTATTTGAGGTAAGGGAAATAATGGTCTCATGACAGTCAAATATCAAGAAAGAGTCTCAAGGTGACTAACGATGCCCTGTCTTTTATTCTGTGGGCCACAGACAATGATTTCCATTTTTACTGAGTTTACCTGTAAAAACCTGTCTTGCATCCACACTCTGAYCTGTTCGAGACAGTGATGAAATAATTATACTGGTTCATGTTCTCCTGCTGTCAGTGACACATAAATCTAAATGTCATCTGCAAAGTTGTAGTAGAATACATTATAGCTCATTATTAACTGGCCCAATGGGAGCGTGTACACGTTAAACAATACGGATCCCAAGAGTGACACTTGGGGAACTCCACAGGTCATACCTGTTCGTTCTGAGACGGTTTCCAATTTCAACATAGTACCTCCTGTCCTCAAGATTGGACTTAAACCAGTTTAAAAGAGTACCCAAGATTCCCACTCAGTCTTCTAACCTCTGCAGTAAGATCATATGATCAGTTGTGTCAAACGCAGCACTCAGGTTCAACAGAACTAAGACTGTGACTTTGCCTTCATCTGTATTCAGATGAACATCATTTGTCACCTTGATTAGTGCAGTCCTTTGGATTATAAAGAACAGGCTTTGCATTTGTTAGAGAAAAACAAAAAAATTCAGTATGGACAAAACTGCATTATTACATCTTGTTCCCCCCCACAAATGCTGCTTTAGCTCATTGGCTCAAAACACAACTTCACTTTAATTAGAGCTCTTCATACAAAGACATAAGAGCGCATTGATTTTTTCATGTGTGGCAGAACCATTTGAGGAAGAAGAACCTGGGGAAGATCATGTTGGTGATTTAAGGTCCCCCCAAAAAAAGAAAAAGTGCACCCACACACTGAGAAATCACGTCAAAGTAAA